ATATGAAGAAGAAGAAGAAAAAGAAAAAGAAGACGACAAAAAAGAAGAANGAGGAGGAGAAGGAGAAAAAGAGAAGGATTGTAATGATAATTAGAATAGATAACGAATAGCAGTGGGAATGGAAGCGCCGCACAGCGAGATAGCGGTAGTCTGATTTACGTGGCAAATTCAAATATCAGATATTTTGAGCGAACTTGCCAGGGCCGGCTAGTTAACTCAAAAGATTGGATTTCATTAGCGAACATCGGAGAATGCTATCGACCGCATGGATTTGTATATTATTGCCGGGCAATGGTATTTAACTCAGGATCTAATGATCACTACTGGATAGATCCCTCAAAAGTCAAGATTTAATCCGCATTGCTTGACCATCGCATTTGTCTACCTGAGTTGTGATCGCAGAACAAAAGAAAGGGGAATCCCATTCAGATTTGAAGCCAGTGTCCGCGATGAATCGATCCGGCCTCCTGACACTTGACGTGATGCTTGCCTTTATAAGCTATCGAAGCATATCATATACAGTCTCTGCCCCATGGACTCCCAAAGTGAAATTTTAAAATTTCTTAGCGTACTCACTTTTGTGTAATTTTTTTTTTCTTCAAGTGCAAGTGAGCACGCTAAGAAATTTTAAAATTATATATGCTATTTAATGAATTCAAAGCCGGAATGCTTTCCCTGCCGTAATTTTGGTTTTTAAATTTTTGATAGGCTCGCTTCTTCCTTAATGATCTCCTGTTAAGATGATTCCAAGAGAGCTGGCATAAGTTGCACAGGGACTGAATTAACTGGGACGATACTTTCCTCTGAGTTCGTGATTTCAGTTCCCTCCTCTGAAAATGAGGCATTGTCCTAGTCGTTAGTGTTTTAGTTCATGTATTATTGTACATCGTTGGCCACTTTTTCTGTGGGTACAAGCCGCCTGACATCTTTTTTGCATTCGCAGAAAAATCAGTCTTTTGGGATTTGAGAGCAGAAGTTTTTCCCTCCCTTATCCATAGAGGGTCCTAAACGAGAACCCAAATTTGCC